TTTTTGATAGATCCTAAATGAGCTTCCATAATTATGTCTAAGGAGACAGAAATTTTGCAGTTCATTATTTAGATGATTATTGATTTGGGATGTGTCAATGGTTTTCAGCCAGAAAAGCCTTGCTTGTTAATTATTTTGCAATTTAAACTGCATTGATTTCATAGGTACCCTGATCAATTTTCAGGTCAAGAGGTCAAAGGTTACCGGTTTATATCATACAACAAAATCTTATTTTGAAAATCATATGCTTGATAGTTATCAGACTTAATTTACACAGTTTTTCCATGATAATTAGACAGTCTCTATTAGTTGTCAAGTCAAAAGTTCAAAGGTCACTTGGCATGGTGGATTTTCAGGTCAATGGTCTGTGTTTTCTGCTTTATTTCTGCCATATGTTGTCCCATCAGTATTTTGGGAACCTTTTGCTTGGTGGTCATCAAATCTTGTGCAGGGTTTGGCTATATGAATAGTAGACAAGTACTCCCTATTGAAATAGTTGGGAGAATGGAGATACACATTTTGGTCCAAGTTAATTAACATTTGAAAATTTTTGATGAAAATCACTGGTACAGCAGGTGCACAAAGTCAGAATTTGGAAAACATGACTGCATGCAGTTGTTAACCAGCAGAGGATTTAAGACAATTACATACCGGTAATAACTCATTTATCTCAGACCAGTGTATCTAAGGTAACAGTAGTCCACATATGGTCAACATAATGTTAATTAATTGCCATATCCCATCCTGCCTTGAAATCAAATGTTGTTTGTAGTAAATAGAATATAGTTAACCTCTGGCTACAAGATTATGAAATCCCTAGCTATATTTAAAAGGTTACATACTCAATAAGAGTCACAGCATTCAAATTGGTGTCAGCTACCTTTCACTGTAAGTGTACTAAGGAGGAATGTAGTGCTTCTTGTTTAGTGCAAAATGTATTGGTAGCATCACTCAATAAAAGTGTATGATGAAATTTTCGTGAAGGATTAACATGGTGTACGTTGCCCATTATATTAGTAATTACATTGCAAGTACTTGAGCATAATTGCACTTTGTTGCTCTTTATAATGGAGAAATTAAAGATATTAATTTGAATGTAATTTAACAAGAGGTATGTGTTTAGTGCAAATCCATATTAAACCTGGAAAAATTGATATTCATGCTGCAAATCTTGATAATGAAACTCGATAATGTTGTTGAGATAATTTTTTAATTTGTTAAATTATTATTCTAAGAACTTGAAAATATTAAACTTGGGCAGCAATTCAAATCTGAGGTCGAGAACAACTCTAAGTAGCTCTCGTTGTAATGAAAATTCCAAGGAGCACTTTTGTTTAACGCATGCTACTGGCTCAGACAGGGGGGAACTATCATTGGTTTTGATTTTTTTTATTTGAAAATGGATGGGGGCCCAGCAGTCAACTGAAGTGAATTATCATAATTTGTATATGAATGTGAAGAATTTTCATTGCTGGCAGTTGTGTTTAATTTGTGGTAATTAACTACCTTGAGAGCTTTGTTCAGGGCAAGGTGTGCTTAATGTAGATCTTGTGTACTTAATACCTGTATAATATATAAAAATTGTAATTTACGTCCCATCATCAATTGATCTACAAAAAAATCTAAACATCCAAAGAATAAAAATCTCTGAATTGCCCATGGCATGCAAATTAAGAAATTTAAAATAATTGTAGCTATAAGTACTAAGTAATATTTTGTGTTGTATGAATAAAAAAGGTGAAGATAACGAACAGTGATAGATCTCAAAAAATCTATAAACAATGCAATTCTGTGAAGAGAGCATGAAACACAGACCCCAGAAATTCCAAAGGTGGGATCAGGTGCCTAGGAGGAGTAAGCATCCCATGTTGACTGTTCACAACCGCCGTGAGCCCTTTGTATTGATCAGGTAGATGGAACATTCTGTAGTCAAATTCAGTATAAAAACAAAGACCTAATAATTGGTATGAAACAAGTCAGCCAAAATACAACTCAATGATAGGTTACCAGGTATATTTGCTAACAAGGTCATTATAACGACCATAGAATTAATGAAATGCTGACTTTAAACAAGGTTGTTGAAATCCCTGTAACACCGACTTTTCTGTCAGTAGCTTGCCTCAATTTAAATTGATTAAATTGATCGATTGATTAAAATAAAAGAAGTGGAAATCAATAATTATGAGCAATATGTTTTTAGGCCTGCATATGGTTGATAAGATTTAGTCATTCTAGCTGATTTTTGAATTTAATTGCTGTTCTGCAAACCCCAAATCAGATAGCATACATGTATTTTTTCAGGGGATTGTAAAAGAAGATAATTGACATTTATGAATGCCATATGTGACAATCTCTGTGTCGGTTAAGGAAGTTATGGAATCTGATTACTTTAAACATGGATATTTACAGGTGTTGTTAATTAAGTGAATTAGTACTACATGTAAGATAGTCTAAGTACATTGGAAGGGGGGGGGTAAATCTGTGTAAAGGCATTGTATGGGGGTGGGGGATTTACACAAAATCTTGCTTATCACTGTGTAAAATTACTCCCATGTGTAAATTTCCACGTTTACAGTAAGTAGACTAGATGATTTCAAGAACAGTTTTAAATTTCACCTATATGTAGACTATTGAGGTCAAGAATCACTGAGAAATACAGGTATGTATTTTTGACTGGAAGTTGCGAAACCAAATAGATATACCGTCAGTATTAGTGGGACATATATAACAAACTTCACATTGCTTTTCTCACATTGCTTTCTTCTTGACATTCTGTGTAAAAAAGGTAAAATTGGTGACAAAATTGCTTAACTGACATAGACATTATATGTGCCATAAATGTCCATTGATAGGACAGGTAACATTTACCTGGACAATACAGAGTTGTGATAAGTCCCCCGTGTGGAATGTCAAATGTTTACCTTACTGATTATACTATACCATTGCAGCACAGAAGAAGGCCTATTTCTTTTTAACCAGTTTGACGTTTTGAGGGAGGGTCGGACTGTCTTTTATTCTCATTGTGTAGGTAAGACTAAGGAGTTCTTCATTCTTTGGTTTTATGTGGGTGTGTTACAAATGTAAAATGCAATTTTAACTAACCATGCAATTGTTTAATTACTACATCAGTCTGTGTTTCTTTCAGTGAATGGAATATCTACACTAAAATATCTTGTTACAGGTTGTTGTGCATTCAAGCATTCAGCATTCTCTTACGGGGAGGTGATGACACGCTCAACAAGAACATTATATTTTTCACAAGAACGTATTTTTCTTCACTAAACTGGGTCATAGGATCTGACAGTTTAACAAATTCATGTCATTTTGAGGGAAATACTTGCTTTGTGGAAACATTCTGGATATTTTTAGAGAAAACATTTTATAAAGTGAATGTTTTCTAAATTAGGATTTTGGATCCTAATTCCATGGAACTACTTACTCATACAAGGTAAGTTTGTAATAAACAAAAGGCATCACTTTTATTTAGTCTGTATTCAGTTATAACTTGATAAACAGTGTACAAGTTCAATGTAAGTGTCTACTTGAGGAATTTTAATATGTTCTTAGGTTTTCTTTGAGAATCTTGCCGTAAATTAAAGTTCAAATGATAGCTGGGTGAAAATGGGTGTCATAAAAACAGTAAATAATTCACAGGACAGTGTTGAGTACATAAACTTTTATCTCGGAGTTGAGAGAGACAGTCTCACTGTTATTGTGAGATGAATATAAACATAGATAATTTCACAGATTTATATTTACATGCAGCTTGAATATATCTAATTTACCTGAGGACATCTTTCTGTGATTTCTCATTAAATTTCATAATTAGTTTTGTAAATTTTTGGTGACCACAACAAAGTTGTTCAATTTATAAATATTAAATTATATCACACGTGCTGTAGAAGGATGCCGGAAGTTGTTAAAGTGAGCTGTGTTATAAACAACCAACAAACAAAATACTTGATGTGACCTTATAAGTTCTTAACTCATCAAGCCCTCCTACAGATGAGGAAATGAGACGTATTGTTTGTGTCCTTTGTCTCGGCCACCTCCATGACCTTTACACTGTAGCGACCCAGCATGGACACTTAAGCCAGGTGTAGAGGGTCTGTCTACAACACCTCGATTTTTGTATCAGATTTTAAAGAAAAAAAGATTACAAGGTAATCTAAGGTAACTGCACGAGAGACTGTGGACATTGTTTGATTTGAAAGGTTAATTGTTGATATTCTCAGTTATATCTGTTGAGGTTGAAATATGTAAGTTTTTCAATGGTTGTGTATTCATGGTGAGAGAAATTCTTGTCATTTAATAGATAAAAAAAGTTAGGAACAGGTTTTTAAACCTAAAATCATGGTATGGTTGGCTGCAGGCATGGAATGCAAAAGATCTGATATATCTAATCTAGATTTTAAAAATGATCAAGTGTTGAACTGTGGCTTTTAGCAGGTATAATTCTTTTCAATATACACAGTAATTAGTACAGTTAGGTTAGTACATTCAATATTATAGTGTCTCGGCTGTCCATTTGTGGTCATTGTGATGGTCAGTGCTCATGCAATGTCTGCCCCCTGGTCCTATTCTGGACAAGCTGAGATGGTATTTATTTGACTAGGAAGTTAGCTGACAAGATGCTCTTTAAATCACATGGGAATACATGGAATGACATTGATGGTCATGCAGGATTCTAAGATTCCTTTAAATAAAACAGATTTATAGTGTGGATAAGAAGCACTTGTTCTTGGGGGTGATACATAACATCAAAAGGGAATTGTTATCCTATCTAGCTTTGCCTTGTAACTCCCTTATATAGAATTTCTTGTTCTTCTGTCTGAATTTTTAATGAGTCTGCATGTGTATTGATCTGAGTCTGTGAGAATTTATTGACGATATGGTAAAGACTCGAGTCTTTGCTGCTGTTGAGCAGAGACCATGTGATCAGCAGATTTGTTTGTTTTCACTGCATTGTACAACAATTAAAACCAACTTACGCATGCACTGGTTGCTCACACGAAAATGAGTGATGATTTTCCCAGACAAAGCATATCTGATGGATTTCATTTATCACACAGGATTAGAAAGCTAGTGTTTTTGGATCAGTGTCGCATGGTGGAATACAATTTAGATTGATTTTTTTCTTTTCCTTTGTGTGATCAAGAATTTAAATATTGCATGAAGTTCAGCAGTATTGAAATACAAGAGGATGAATGGAATATGGTAGCCATGGTGCCTTATTGATACATTACATGTGGTAAGGGATATACATGTCAAGTAATGTATAATGGAATTCCTACAGGCTGGCCTTCGTAAATCTAATAAGTTCATTGTGACATGGTTTAAAGTTATTCATTGAATTTTAACTGTACCAAAGTCATTTTCTTGATTTGAATGTCACAGTTTATTATAGTAAATTAATATAAAAATTCCATCATCTTACTGTTCTGGTAGTCCCTTAATGATAAATTAGAATGCTCCTAGCTTTCAGTTTAAGTCAAGCATTATGTTATATTGATGTAAAGATGTGATAAAAATCTGATTTCTATCATATGGATCGATACTGTACGTGTATTCAACTGTAAATATCTATCCCTTCAATTATTATATGCACTAATTATCAAAGAAAAGTACATGTATGTACAGATTAGACATATCTTTTGATTGTCATAGAGCATACAGTAATGAGTTCATTATAACTTCGAACATTATATTCATCGTGCAGTACCTGGATACTTACAAATATTCTGTAGTTGCCTGAGTGAAGTTTTTAAAAAAATTAAAAATAACTTCAGCAAATATAATATAGTCTGATAATTAATTGTTGACAGTGATTAATTTTAAAAAGACCAAATGGTAATTATCATGCAAATAAAAAATACATTGTACATGTACTGTTAAATTTAATTGTTTAGGTAAAGCTTCTGTTTGTTTATCCTGATTCTTCTGCCATGTTTAGTGATACTGTTTTGATATATGCAGTATACAGTGAAATACTCTAAGTATATGGACATTTCAATTCAGAAACAACACAACATGTCATTCATTGTAACAGAGTCTGGGAGTTATATTGATTAGTGTGTGATGAAAGATTTCTCTTCACTGTTGCTAGATTTGCTTGGGAGCAATTAGTAGTCGGGCATGAAACCCGATTGGAGATGAGTAGTGATGTGTAAAAAACTGGCTTTTGTTTGCATTTTTCATTTCAATGAATGCATGTAAATCTCATTTGGTAAACATTAAGATGGTACATTCTGTATCTTTATTAGTTGTACACAGCTACCCAGCGAGTGAAATTATAAAGTCTAAAATTTTATTCAATTTTTCGCATTGCAGAAATCCCATAGGCCAAAAGTTCATAATTATTTGATAGTAATATTAACCAAGCAAGCCAAAATACCTCTCTCATGGGACACTTTTTATAAAAAGTTGACATGTCATGCTTCATGGGGAACCTGTTACCATGGAGTAATTGAATGCCCAGATGTTTATCATGCATAGCTCAGTTGACACACATTATTTTTTCCATTCTTGATTACTTGTAAAATTTGGTCTCAACTTCTAATTTGTCAGTACCAACAGACTATTGGTTCAGATGTACTTGTTGGATGATAGTTATAGTACAAGGGTCATTCAGTAAGTAATGCAATGTCAGATTGGATTAAGAAATTCAAAAGTGGGAAAGAAGCATTTGGAGATTGCAGTCAAAGTCTGTAGGAGCACCAAAAAATATTGATGCTGTGAGTAACATATCTGACAATGCCAGATTTACAGTGAAAGACATTGCTTTGACACTTAACATTTCATCACCACAACAGATTATAAAGTTCTGACAAAGGAAATAAATCTTTAAAAAATACTTTTGTCAGATGGGTGCCTAGCCCTTATTTCCTTACAGATGTCTATAAGAAAACACAAACTAAATGTGCCAAGGATCTATTATAGAATAAACATTTTAATAGAAGGTTTGATAAATTTGGGTTTTGGATGACGGAATATGGGTGCACTTTTATAGCCCAAAAGAAAGACCACAAATAAAATGTGGAATCAGAAAGAAGGTGCCATCCTATTATTGCAAAGAGAGGCGGTCTGATACAGTAACAGGTTTTCTTTTTTTCAAGAGGTCCAGTAATACATGTAGTACCTACAGGCATGGAAGAACCATCAGTGGGAGCTTTTTATGTTAAAATTGTATTGAGGAAAGTTAATCAGGTTTTCTGTAAGAGAAGTCTAAATACCGGTTCCTAGGGTGATGTTCTTGTACCTGACAATGCTACTGCAAAGAAGCATAGAGATGTATTGGAAATTTTGAAGAAAGGAACATTGATAGACTTTAGCCATCCCCTATATTCATTAGATCTCAGTAATTTTGACATTATTCCAAATCGCAAGGAAAAAATTCAAAGGAAGCTAGATGCTACAATTCTAGATCTGTCCTGGGAAGTATTATCCATCAGTGTCTTTTGAGCTTCCCCAAAAAGAGAGTATGTGAGGTGTACTAGTCATTGAGTCTTTTGAGCTACCCCAAAAATAGAGTATGCTGAGGTGTACGGGTCATTGAGTCTTTATGAGCTACCCCAAAAAGAGAGTATCTGAGGTGTACTGGTCATTGAGTTTTTATGAGCTACCCCAAAAAGAGAGTATGCTGAGGTGTACTGGCCATTGAGTCTTTTGAGCATCCCCAAAAATAGAGTATGCTGAGGTGTACTGGTCATTGAGTCTTTTGAGTATCCCCAAAAAGAGAGTATGCTGAGGTGTACTGGCCATTGAGTCTTTTGAGCATCCCCAAAAAGAGAGTATGCTGAGGTGTACTGGTCATTCAGTCTTTTGAGCTACCCCAAAAAAGAGTGTATCTGAGGTGTACTGGTCATTGAGTTTTTATGAGCTACCCCAAAAAGAGAGTATGCTGAGGTGTACTCGCCATTGAGTCTTTTGAGCATCCCCAAAAATAGAGTACCGTATATACTCGCATATAAGTCGGTTTTTTGGGAGTTAAACTTTGGTCCAAAACTCTGTGTCCGACTTATAGGCGAGTCATAAAATGATTGGTATTTTAGAGGGTCAATCCCTCTAATATAGGCTTAAAAAATGCAACCGACTTATAGGCGGACCGACTTATAGGCGAGTATATACGGTATGCTGAGGTGTACTGGTCATTGAGTCTTTTGAGCGTCCCCAAAAAGAGAGTATGCTGAGGTGTACTGGTCATTGAGTCTTTTGAGCTTCCCCAAAAAGAGAGTATGCTGAGGTGTACTGTTCATTGAGTACAGAGAATTAAGGCATGTAAAGGGATTAAAAATATAAAGAAACTGCCCTTTCGTTCTTTTATTGGTTTTTGACCTTCTACATTATTTTTTGAATACCTGCATAACAGATTAAATATGTTATCAAATAAATAAATATACATGTACAAGCTAGTATATCTACATTCTAGCAAAATCATTTTTGTGTTTACTTGAAATTCCTTCATATCTTTAACCTTAAGGCCTTTAGATTTCCCATTAGTTTATTCTTATTCTGATAGTACAACATAAGACCCAATTTTCTTTTTAAGGAAAAAATGCTTTTAAAAAATTGTTGATGGTAAGGAATGCACTGTGTGCCTATACCACATTAACAATTATACAAATGTACTCACGTAGGCTTACTGTACTGTTTCTATAACCTTGTCAATGATTATATGTATCAAATAACTAAGTGATATCTATATTAATTACATGTGGTGATATTTACAGTTTATAAGGTAAGAGACCATGTTACAGAAGTAGGCCAAAAACTGTCAAATGCATTTAATTTATACCCATTTGGTATTTCAACTGAATTTGATCCAAATCATTTGCAAGATGTATTTGATATGAAAGTAATTTCTTGAGAACTTTCATCTGGATAGGGCTGTCACGGTTCCAAAATTTTTAGGGTCGGTTCTGTAAATTTTCGGTTCGGTTTCGGGTTTTTTGGTTCGGTTATTTTCATTTATTTTAAACCTTAATTTCATTAATTTAACTTGAAAAATCTTTATTTGTTACGTTAAGTTCACCTTTAAGGACATAGGCAACGTAGTTTGAACTTTATTGTCTTTTTCCCTGGAGTTGAAGAGTTCCAATACTTAAAGGAATTGTGTGCTACATTTGTATGTATATATGTTCTATTGTACACTTCTTCTAAAACAAGTTTGGATGAACAAAACATCTAGAATATGTGTTTAGTAATTTTTATGTATTTTTCTTTGAATTATACAAGAATTTTCATCAATTGATATCTTTTCAAAACCCCTGGTAATGCATGCAGATTTTTTGTCGACGAACATCTGATGGCACTATAATCTTAAATTAAGAATATCTTGAAAAATTATCAGTAGATAAGGTACGTTGCATATGTCCTTAAAACAAGTCCTACCATGTTAAGGTTTTGATATTGGTGTTTAAAACTTTTAGGCCGACTATTAGCCACAACCTGACCACTCTTGCTCATTTTGATAATTAACTAATCCTTTTGTGACAAGTGTTTTGTCATGGAATGAAGTAGATTTCAGTTTTGATGTTTATTTATCACTGTTATCGTCATCTTTCTTTTGATTTCGATGCCTTTTTTGTATAAAACAGGCTCTAATATATAAATCAGACCCGACAGGTATATTAAGATTGCAATTTATTTGATTATTTTTTTTAAATGGTGTGAATTCATATTTTGTCAAATATGCAATCTAAAGTCATCTATCACTTTACTAGAATCTATTGATAAGTTGACGGATTGACAAGCATTAGTCAGAAATATTGGAAAGGGTTTATAAGTTATTCAATTAATAGTCATTCCATGTATTTTGGGGAGTAAAAAACCTGCATATTGTCTTGATAATCCTAATTTGAGGAAACCTGATGCCCAGATTCATGCAAAGGTTTGACAAATTACTGTGTTTTCTAAGGCCATCTGTATCGTACCAACTCCTCTTGATGCACATGCACTGCAAACAAATTACAGGCTTTCCTTTATTGCGTTATGTTCACAAAAGATACGTAAACGAGGGACTGGTAGATAAATGGAGCAGAGCCTTCTCTGTTATCGTTGGGTGCAAATTAAATGAGGTTGGATCCAGCATAATTAAAACAATGTAAAGCACATTGTGCCATGAGATTCAAGGTGTTGAGTTTAAACTGATGGGAGTAAGTAAATGTGTATTATAATTCTTTAAAGAATATCAACATTTACTTATTTGTTGGGTCATTTAAAAATAATTGTGCAGTAAAACAAGGAATTACAAAAAAAAAAGATTTTAGATTATTTGATATGAATTAATCTTATTTAAAATGGTAGAAAATGTATACTTGTATAGTCCTTCAAATGACATATAGCAATGCTTAGACTACATGTAATTTTTATTATGAGAATTTTAGGTGTGTGTATTTTTTTAAGTACAATACATATTCCATAATTCATGTTTTATCCTTATGTTAAACTTAAATCTAGCAGATTTATTAGCTTTGTAAAAAACAGTAATTAACTTGACCTAAAACTTGGTGCCCAAGAGTTCCAAATTCATTAAGTGTTTATGTAAAGGAAAAATTTTAAAAAGATTTGGTTCTGCTGAAAAGGTATGTACAGTTGGTTCTACTGAAAAGGTATGTACAGGCATGGATTCAGAGGAAGCGCTCCCAGTGCACTCCCCTGTAAAAATAAATTCATATAATTCCGGCAGTATTCACTGTCATACATTGATGAAATAAGGGTAAAATTACCAGTACAGTCAAGGACCCAGTCCCCTTACCATCTAATAGCATCCCATCTAATGCAAAATCCTGGATCTATGCCTGCTAGTTTCTGGCATGTTAGATGGTGGAACTGCTTATTGGAAGAAATTTTTGTGCACAATGTATATATTTAAGAAATAATTCCAGCGTCAGAAGAATTGATTGAGAATACCCCGATAGTCGAGAGATTTCGAGAGAAGGATGATGTCCTTCGAGCTCAGTTTTTATTTGCCAACAAAATCTCGAGACTGAGGGGTATATTCTCCAACAATTCCGACGACGAGGGAATTATTTCTATTCTGCTGTGGCAAATATTTCAACTTCTGTATAGAGAAATGCAAAAGCTAGATTTGGACGTCATCAGAAGTGTCTCATGACTTCACAATAGAATGCTACTCCTTGTTCATTTATATCTCAAGCTTTAGAAAACGTAGAAAATGTAATTCGAACCTAAAGTAAATATTTTCCCACCAATTTGCATCACAATCAAAAGAATTACCTCTGTCCTTGTCCTAGTGAAGGCAGTCAAAATTAGAGGAAACTGATTTAAAATTATCGATAATTTGTTGATGATGTTTGTGATTTATTGGAAAATAATGGCAGTGGCATCTTTTTTATCTTTGCAATAACCATAGTAGAATAATATACAATTATTTCTGTTATTTGAGGTCAATATGATGATTTAGACACCTGAGGAGTACAGTATTCACCGAGCCCGAAGGGTGAGGTGAATATTGTACTTCGAAGGTGTCTAAATCATCGTATTTATCAAAAAACAGCAATAACTGTTTTATTATATGATTATCTATTTTTGGTCCAATGTAGAATAAAAAATTCCTTATATTGACCTGGAAATAATTCCTTATATTGACCTGGAAGGTCACTTGCAGGTCAATTTAATTTAGTATTTTTCTAACATTGTTGGATCTCAGCCAAAAGAGAGATGGGAATTATTCAATCATATAACAAAGTGTTTTAACGTGTATGACAACATTATTCTCTCACATCTGTTTAGTAACATTTTATAAATCTTGAGTGTGTGGGCCCTGACCCGAGACATCTGGATCTATCTTACTGTGGAACAATTGTGTTGATACATAAACAGATTTGATTTTATTCAATGAGATTTTATTGTTTTCTTAGCTGCTGCGTGCGCAAAAGGGCTTTGACAGAATGTAATCCTTGTTTTAAAGATATATTTTATTTTGTAGAGCACAGACTTCAGTTTTTGACATTCCAAGAATTTCTTTCATTTTTGGCATCCTTTGTGATAGGTGAGTGCTAGTGTTTTCATTTTCTATAATCAGAGAGATTCAAGATCTTCATCAGAATATACATGTATATTTTTTGTTTTCTTTTAAAAGTTTTTAAAAACTCATTTTTGAACAGAATTTTTCAACTTTGAAGTCAGTATTTTAAATTCCCAAACCCCAAATCTGAAGTGTAATTCTGGACATGCAGTTAGATAAACATGATATTTATCAGAAAAACACACAGCTAGGGTATTGTTTCTTTGAAAAAACAAAATAATTTTTCAAGCATGCTGCATAGTGCTTTTTATGAGGTTGCTTCCTTATCAATTATGAAATACTTTTCTCATTATTCAGTAAACTTCCTGTTTAGACAAAAAAAAACATTTTTTCACAAAACAAAATGACACTGATATATGTATGTATTATGATAGTTGCCCGGATCAGTCAGTTAATGGAATGTGCTTTGGGGACATTTTGTAAGTCCTTACTTTAAATTATGCTTATGCATCTTTAATGAGGGTCTTTTTGTTTTAACTTTGTAAGTAGATTCTAAAATGATTGCCATTTTAGGGGTAAGAGCAGTTTAACTTTGTGACTTTTTCATTAATTTACATGTCTGCATGTTCATCTTTTTGTTCAAGTGGGTAGACAATCAAGTTATTTCAGCAATCTATGGTATGACAGTACATGTACTGAATCAGGAATCTACGTGGATTGTTGGGATGTATAGGTATACCTATTATAAACTTTAATCCAAGAACAAATTTTAAAAGAAAATGTACTTTTTTTACTTGTTAGAGTTCTAATGTAAAGGTAGACATTTTACTAGGTAATACAGGAATCACGGTTTATACCTGCTGTGTGTAGTTGGGATAGTGGAATCAAGTGCTGGGGTAGGATATTGTTGAGTGGACGTTATCTGTGTTTGACATTTTTGGTGACAGATCTTCCGTAAGAAATGATCATGTTTGTCGTAATCGGGTGACAGAAGGCCAGCTAAGCTAAGCCAGGTATACAGGTGTATGACCTAGTCATACCGCTCTGCTTGGTGTTAGGTCGTTATCAATTTCCTTGTGATGAAAACAATATGTTTTTAAGGTGTGCCTTGCATATTTTAAATTGATGCTATGTTTAGTCATTGTTTTCAACACTGAGTGAAAATTACCTCTAATTATTAAGAGTTACTTTGAAAAAAATAATCAAGGTCAAAATATGGTAAGTATTACCTGTATATGAGGATCTGATTTAGTAATTAGGATATATGTTTGTATATTTATTTCAGATTATGAAATTTAAACGTAATTCTGATTCATTATATTTTAACTTAATAAAGAAAATAATGATTCCCTTTCATTCAGTATGAAAAAAGCACCTTTTTTACCAGTATAGATTACCAAAGCACTTGAATGTTTTTTTTAAGAAAGGTTGCATTTTGAAGTGAGTAATTAGTGAAACAGGATTTGGAGATAACAAATATGATCTTTTTTAGGACATGAAGTCTAGGTGCATCACTTCCTCTGTGACTCAGATGTCGTGATCTGGTGGTGCACAAAGAATAATGTACAGGGGATCCTGTTAAATTTTATAAAATCATGAAGGATTCACTCACAAGCTTGACAGGGCAATGATTCTGAAATGGTCTCTCGTGATTTATGAAACATATAATTTATGTTGGAAACTATAATTACTAATATCTCTGTTATCAAAATCATAAAGGTTAGGCAAAAAGAATTCAACAAAATTTCTAATCCAAATAAGGTAATTTTACTGATCAGTGTAAGGTACTAGGGTGTCTATAAACTAGTGAGATGATATACATGTATCTGTAGGTTTTAAATGACTGATCACTAAGTATATAGACAAATATTGCTAAATTATATGATATATTATAATGTGAAAGGTTATAATACACAGTGTCCACCAAGTTTCTTTAGGGGGTAAAATTTGCCAAAATTAAAGTTTAGCCTTGTGTGTATCAGCATAAAACAAGAATGTGTATTGACTGCCTTTTGTCACTCTGTACTAATGAACTGAAGTCATCGTAATCTTGGAGATATTGATGTTGGTCAGAGCTAAGATTAGATAGCCCTGTGGTGCTGCTCATTGACTAATCTTGAATTTAATTTGTCGGACAGCTGACTCATTTCTATTGATTGATTCTCATGCTTTGCCATCACAGGTTTTAACAGAGACAGTAACACATTACTGTCAGGAATTCAATTCTCTCTTTGTTTAGTCATACGTTGGCTTTGTTGATGTATATGTCATTTTTGTATGATCAGAAACTGAGGTTGGTTGTATGTAATTGTACTTGTCAGCAGTGTATGACATTTATTATATAGACTAAGTATAGATGGATGATGGTTCTCTGAGTTCTGCATCACATTACTACCGGAACTGTAATAAATCTCGCACTACAAAATTCTGTTTCATTTTTTTTTTTTTTTTTTTTTTGGTACAAATTTTTTTTGTTTCCTTGTTTTCTTCCATGACATTTTAAGCAATTGAAGATATAGTTTGAGAGGAAGCTAGATGGGGGTGATTGTAATAGCCAGTACACAGTAGTCAACAGACACTTCTTTAACAGGAAGATATATAAATGTAGATGTGTCTGTAATCTACATAAATGCCTATGCATTATTCTTGTTTGATGATCCAACCTGTACATGTTATGTCCCAGCTCCTATAACTTGCTATAATCATTGACAGCTCCTGTATTTATAGGGTTTAGGTGTATGATTCATAGGTCTGGCTACAGACTGACCATTGTTATAGATATCTGTGAGCTCGATCAAGTCGGGATCCAAATCTTTGGTCCAATCTTCCAATCCTGGATTAACTTATCAAGCTGATGTATTACAGTCAGCACTGACCTGACTACTGCCCTGCTGTCATCTTCATTTTGTAAGAAAGAGAGATTTGTTGTATGAATTTGAAAAATTAAAGAAGTTTTTATACTTCATAACTTATAAGGATGAAATAAGAGAAAAGATTAACTTCTGTTCCTGACTGGGTGATAGCTCTTCATGTAAAACTAAAGCATTGGTTGTTGTACGTGATCAGGTCTAATGAGCTATAGTACTTCCTCTGTGGTTTCAATACACAGTATTGTGATGCTGCGGAGTAAAAAGGCTTGTTCTAAAATATCAACTTGTCTTTGTAGGGTGAATATCCGGCCAGTCCCGAAACAGGAAGCTTTACGATGAACAGGAAATGGTTCAGTGCAGCGTACAGTAGAGTGATTATGACTCTCCAAATGTAGGGCAAGAAAAGTGGAAAATGTGAGCTGTTTTTGATGAAAATCTGAAGAATTATAAGTGGATTAAAATGGACATGACAGTCAAAACACTACTGGATGAGACAGTTCATGGACTATTACAGATCAGTCCAGGTGTGTGTAGTCTGCACTGTTAACGCAGGTGCTTTTGGGTGACGTATATGTTTTACTTATGTGAGATTTTTGTGTCATGTGATCATTATCAACTGAAAATTATTTAATAACATCAATATCCGTAATCAACATGGATAAATTTGGTGTGCATTTGAAATCCACTGGATTATCAAACACCAGGGAGAAAGAAAAGACAAGGCAGACAACAACTCGGAAAAATCAACCTACAAATATGAAAGATCTCAAAAGTATGTTTGAAAGCAAGTCAGAAGGAACTAAAGATTCCACCAGTGCCCCGGTTTCCATGGGAACAGACTTCAAAAGTAGATCTTACACTATTCATAAAACTGTGTCCAAAAAACACAGCAGTGATAAAAGTGCCAAAGATGAAGAGGACCTTTCATTGTTTTCTCAATTCAAATTCAGTATTGATGCCAATAAAAATACAACGCTGGAGAGAACTAATAGCTCAGATAGTTGTCACAGTATTGGTAGTCCTAGAAGTGTTAGAAAAACAAGCAAAGATGACTCAACCAAAGCACAGGTAGTCAAGTCTAAAGTCATGACCTCTTCTTCCAAAACATTTCAAGCTTCTGTTGATAGTAAGATTCACAGAGTGAATTCACGTGAAGAGAATTCCCTCAAACAAAAGGCCACTTCAGACCTTATTGGAAATTTGGCCATCTTGCGAACTCTTCCTGGAGGTAGTAAAAAATCCGACACATCTACTTCATCCCTTCAGAGTGAAACATCTAAAGTAAATGAAATCTCCAAAGAAACATCAAGTTTACTAAAGGAAAAGAAAACATCATCTACAGATAGTGTCAATTCAAATAAAGACGTTGGTCAGAAAAACAGTGTTCCAAGGACCAAAGAATTTCCTATTTCAAAATCTGCCGATAAAAGTTCAGATGTCGGTAAATTAAGTGGGGAAAGTAAATTAACAAGACAAAAAGAATTGGGGTCTTCTTTGAGTCCTAAAGCAAGTGATAAAAAATTCCAAAGTGATTTTGGACTAAGTTATAATAAAAAGCCAGACGTTAGTGTGTCATCTGGACCAGGCCTTAGTCGTCAGTCCAGCACAGACTCAATAACCTCAGAGAAGTCAAGTCCAAGGTTGTCTCTGAAAAGTAAGGGTAAATTAAACCTGGATCAGTCAACTGCATCAGATACTGGGTCATCTGGAAGCCTGAGTCCAAGGATCAAGTCCTTCAGTCCAGAAGTAAAAGTCGATGAGAAACCGGAATGGATGGAGAAGAGTAAAGAACTTGTTAACAAGTTCCAGACCAAGTTAAAGAAGCCTGTGATTTCTGACTTCTCTGTCATTGTGACAACAAGTAGTGTATCTGGAGAAACAACCAAATCTTCCACTGCATCCTCATCCACATGGCCATCTAAATCATCCACAACTCCACATAAAACTGACACTGTTACAAACACATCTTCCACATTTACCAAAACCAATGTTTCTAGAACTGATTCAGGCAAAAAGAGTGACTTGCATGGTTATAAAGAGGGTCTGCTTAGTAAGGAAGCAAGCAGCAGTAAAGAGTTTTTGGAAAAGTTCTCAAAAGACAAGGAACTAAAAGAGGAGAAGGCTGAAAAACAATTATTGTCTCGTAAAACTAGTTCAGAACAATTTCAGAAACTTAAAGGGGGATTTGAACAGTCTGATGATGCTTCTAAATCTACACAACCAAAACCCAAAATTGAAATGCCGAACTCAAATCAGTTTCTCGAAAGAAGAAATTCATTTGAAAAGCCAAAACCTGCAGATACTGCAAAATGTACAACTCTTAAGAACCTAAAAAATGATGGTAAAATTATTGGTGTGAAGGATAGAATAAGTGCTTTGAATGAAGGCAAGGGTGAGGTTGTGGATGAAAGATTCAAACATAAAGTACAAACACAGAAGTCAACAGAGAAGAGTTCCAAAGATTCAGACCAGGAATATCATGATGTAGCAGTGAACCGAGCTGGGACGACCAATGACTGGCCAACATCAGACAGTGAAAGTGACGAGAATATGTACGAATGCATTCCAGCCACTGGTGAGTTCAGACCATTGTCTCTTTGCGTTAAGTTCAGACCATGTCTCTTTCTGACAGATCATTTTTGCCCACAACTGCACTATGATTTATTTCTGTACATGAACTGAATATAGAAAATTCATTATCATAAATCCATGATATGTCTTAAGCTGATGGGATTAGTGCTGATCATTCTTATAACAATGAAGAGTATATTAACTAGATTTAGTATGTGGTTTATTCACTTGTTTTATTTTAAAAAATTGGCTTTGAAATTAATTCTTCTTTTGTATTAATTGAGGTAATGATCTGTCTGAATTCCTTGAATTTTATGGACTCTTCGTGATTTTTATTCCATAGATCCCAGCAAGCAGGTGGAAGAGGTATCAGAACCTCGACTGACCAGAAAGCATGGGCAGAAAAGGTGAGAAGTAATACAGGGGTTTGTAAGCTGGGTGAAGTTTGTAAGCTAGTTATATTCTGATTCATTAACAACTGTATGGGGAAGTTACTTACTATGTGTTTAATATAGGGCTTTTATATACACTCTTTGTCATGTAGTAATATGATAATGAAATCAGGTCAATTTTTGGTGTTCTATCTGGAATAAGGAAGGATGTCACATTTTTCATGGAATTTAAAAAAAAAATGCAGCCCTGCTTCTTTTTGGTTTTTATTGAGAATTGATTAATAAATATGAAAAGATTAAATTTGACTGTAAAAGCAAAAAAAAAAAAGGGAAGCAATATCATGATTTTAAAAAAATCTCGAGAGAGAAAAAAAAAGATTTTTCTTGTTTTAAGGCAAGAGTTTCTAGTCCATATATAGTCAGCAGAAGAACAGAATTTCTTTACATTGATTTCCTACAATGTACAATAAGGACTTAGAAATATTTTGACAATTTTAGACCTTTGAATCAGACTGAAAAGGAAAAATGGAGATCATAACAATGAATAGTTTAATATGAAATATATGAATATTAATTATGTAAATACATGATATATAATGGATTCCTCTTGATTCACACAGTCCCCCTAGCATTAGGTAAGACATGAGCATGCTATCCTGTACGTGTTATCAGAATTTTATACAGAGAAATTAGCGTTCGGAAAGGGAGATAATCCCAACTTTTGTAGAATTGTTATGACTTTGTAGTGAACACTCATTTCTCTGTTTAAACTACACTTGTTTTTATGTTTATATAAGCCTGCCAGTGAGATATGCAAAATATGTGTATATACCTTCCAAAAGGTTTGTCTCAAGTTGTAGTACATGTAATCCATTACCATTGAGTTTAATGCTGAGATGTCAGAAGATCTTATATGTATGCAGCATCCAGATACACTTATTTAAATCATACTTGCATATATCTGTCTTCTGTATTTTTAAATCTCTGTTCTCTTATTCATTTTTCTTTAATTTATATTACACACATATATTTTAACACTTTTATTATTGGATTTAGATATGAAATATAAAGCTTGTGTATGTGCAATCTCTATAGTGATATTAAATGAAGCACACTGACTTATAATTCAAAGTTTTGGAAGAGTAATTAAAAGTTTAAAATTAAAGAAATGAATTATTCATCAATGGTTAATCTGTCTTACTGAAAAAGCAAGTGATGTATCTAAGGCAGGCTATTACCAAAGGGTATGGGGATTGATATTGATACAGGACACTGAAGCTTGTCAATAAAAATGGTTCCAGTTATGCACACTGTAGTTACTGGTCATACAGGCATAGAGTGCAAGAGGTTTTGGGGGAATTCAGTATTTTAAAAGAGATAGATTCAATCTTGTTGCATGATAAATTGAAATTCACATTCACAGGGAGAGAGAAAAAATGTAGTAGCATGTGTGCACCAAGCTTAATAAAGTTGCAAAAGAAATGTTGTGGTTTTTTTATTAGTTGATTACTTATGATTGTTTGGTATATATGTTTTTTGCATGTATTTGCATTGCCTAATTAAAGACAGCAATACCTGAAGAAAATTATTATTCATTTTTTTTTACATAATTTAAAAAAAGTTGGGAAATTTATGCAAATATGAAAAATTAAATGTTTGATAATTGTCTTATATATCAAATTTAACTTTTTCAGGAAAGGTAATAATCGACCAAGTTTTGACCTTGACCATAATATAAACGACAGTTCATCTGAGGTCACCACAGAGGCAGGAGATAGCAGCAGCAAGGAAGGCACACTGGAGAGTACTGAAGATGTAAGTGGGGGGATCTTAGGATTTACAAATACAAGGGGTGTAAAAAGGCATGTAAAGGCAGACGAACTGGTAAAAATGCAAAAATCCCTGGAATTTTTTTTAAGCATTTAGGAAGTCCCTGGGTATTTTAAGATGATTTTTTTTTTAATTTTGGCATTTTGTTTCAAAAAAGAATATTAGGAAAATTAATTGTGTAGATAGTTCCAGTATTTTCAGTATTTCATATTCGTGTAGATCAACAGTTGATATATTAAGAGAATCTTCAGTCTGAGTTCATGTGAATGTAGAGAATTATCTGAGTTTATTTTGCCCAAGCTTTGTTGATTTAATTTGTTGCACATAATATAACTAGTACCGTATGGTAGACTATAGATGCATTTCAATAATATTGGTAGTCTGCATGATTTAATTTTTGTGCATGGAGTGCATTTATATGAACACATTAAGTCTGCCAGACAAATTGAAATGTAGCAGATATAAACTGTTGATAAGACTGCATTTTATCTGGCCACCAGCCTTTGTGTTTACACAACGTTAGCCCCTGGCTTTAAAGCATTCTCCGAATATTTGTAACATTTTGGTATCGGAGCTGTATGAATGAACATACTTATATACTTATTCAAAATCTGTGGATGATAAATGTGCACAATCTGTGTATTCAAGTGTGTCCATGTGACAGTCTATATTTAGAACATTCGTAAGGTGTAAAACCTACCTGTGTTATTTTCTGTTTGTTTTTCATCAGTATTATCTGTGGATTTGTGGCCTCATTCGACAGGTAAAACAGATTTCATGAGTTATTTTTATTTTTAGTTCTGGTGTGTTTAAACATTTTTGTGTAAAAAAGAGTTTGTGTGATGTTACGTTACTTATTTTTATTACAGTTTATAAGTTCATGTTATAGAATTGTTGTAAAATTGAGTTGAATTTACATCCAAGTCTTTATTCATATGACAGTGATTTATTTTAGTACTTTAATTTAGCTTGTTGTCTAATTGTAAATCTGTTGTGTTGTTTGTTTGTAGTCCATGCATGGGGAATTTATGATTTACCCTGGTATGAAACAAAGCAGTTAATTTTCATTCTTAACCAGATGTAGTAGTAAAATTCTTGAGTAGAATGGTTCATTGAATTCATAAATAACTATTAAAATAAATTTATAAGCTGTTAATTACGTATATCAATTGATTTTTATGATATATGTAGTCATGCTAGAATCTATTAGAAGTAGCCAGGTGAATGATAAAAGGTGTAAGACATTCCTGTGTACAGGTGAAGTACCTGTGGCTTCTAAGTAAATGTGGGTCAAGTTCAAATGAAGATCATTTCAGTGTATACTTATCCACTACATTTTCAGTAACATTTCTTCTTTAAACTTCACTGAAGCAAAACTTCAAATTTTCAGTAGGTGTGTGGAGTTGCTTTTGATTGAATTTTCCTGGCATGCTGTCATGTTGTGAATTATGCAGTATGTAATATCAATCATGTTAGGAATATACTGAAGTTAAACAGATGTGTTAGAAGCTGTTCCTGATGAAAAATTTAATGACCTGCAGTTTGTAAAAATGATAAGATCCCCTTGCAGATTTCCCATTTTTTGTACCCTCCCCCAAAGTTTGGTAATTTTTTATTACACTACTTTGGGAAATAGTATAAATTTTATAATGTTTCTTTGATGAATCTGGAGGAGTCATCATTATATTAAGTGCAGATCATGAGTATTTAATTTAGTCAGTGGTTATCAGTGACTGATTTCTTTAGATGACATTTTATTGCCCAAGAGATCAGAGCAGTATAGACAGATATTTACACAATCTAGCTATTTGCTTTGGTTTGTAGATGTATAGGGGTGTATCTTGGTGTTTTCAGAATTGTTTTATCAGAGATTTAAATTTGTAATGGTTTTACCTCAGGGCACTGGTATAGAGGCAGATGTTGAGGAGTATGATTCTGATGGGAGTGGAAGTTCGGGGATTTATGAGCCAATAGATCCCAACTGGGAGTCCCATAAACCTTCCCAGGATTCCACAGGACAGGAAGAACCTCCTGTTTTGCCACCAGGTAGAGGACGTCACAAGAAAAAGGACGGCAAAACAATTGGTAAAAAGCTTAAAAAATTCAAAGAGAAACTAGGCTCAAATGCAACAAAACAGAACGAAGGAAGTCTTCCAAAAGTTTCTTCTACATCCTCCATCACATCAAATAGCTCTTCCTCGGGATTGTTAAAAAAAGTGGGTAAAATTATGAAGAAATCAAAAGTGAATGGTGCCCAACTAAGGAATGGTGAGGACCCTGAGGAAATTAGAGTGTGTAACAGTGCAACAGACTCTAGTGATGTTAATGAGGACATTTATGAGGATGAACCTGTTCAGTTACGTGCTCATATAGGCTCCTCAGGAGGTGAGGACAATTCTGGCTCAGACATTTATGAACAACATATTGAAGTTGACAACTTAGATCGGGCTCCCTCTCGACCCCCACCCCCTCCCCCTACTGCCCCACCAGCTCCTCCTGTACCCCCAAGGCTATCACTTCCTCCAGTGCCAGATAAAGATGTACCTCCCCCACGACCCCCATCCACGGGGAAGTTAAAGTCACCAGGGGAGGACACACCTGCTCTTCCACCAAGGAACAGGATATCTGGAAACTTCAATCTGGATATGGTGGTCCCTATCAGTCCTGGAGGGTAAGTTAAATTTGTAAGAGTTAAATGCTTTTTTTTTTTTTTACAATGTTCCATTTGTTATAATGTTATAGGGTGCTGCCATTATACAATTATGGACTCTTTTGATGGTGAATATGGTTTTATATTCACCAGAAAAATATCAATATTGACGTTTGGCAAAGCCAAAGACAGTTACATTACAAAAACAGAGAATAACTACAATTAGTAGTTTGAGATTCAATGAGATTCAAAATGTTTGGATAATAATCCAGTGATTATAGGCTTGCCTAATTTTTTTCCTGGCCCCGGCCATTGCAACCATTGTTTATAACATTACTTGAGGTGTTGTTTGTGATGTCACAATCATCACTGCACGCGCACTGACCCTCCAGTGGATACGGCATCAAATTCAGTGAATATGTAGTGTGAACCATTTGTATTTGTATAGATTATAAAGGGACTATAAATGGAATATATAATAGTTGTAGTTGTTCTCTATTTTTGTAAATAAATGAAACTGTCATATATATTTTAATCAGTAGCCAGTATGTTAAAACAAATTTTAGTTTTGCAATTTTGTAAAATACATTCACAGTATTGATCTAGATTTAGAGTTTTCTAACAATTAATGTACATTATGTGGGATGTGTAATGCTGATATAAATTTTTTGCCATCCAATTAGTGTACACGTAATTATTCAAGGAGTGTTAATCATTTTACAGACGTTCAGGGCCAACATGGCACCCAGCCCCAGAAAGCTACTTGCATGGTCACAATGTGAAAGGATCTAAGTTTAATGACCAGGTAGATGGGGGTGGATCCAGCAGTTCATCAGATGAAGCTCAGAGTGGCATGATCAGGACAAGTAAGTAATGGCAGCTAACTGTTAAGGGAGATATAAGGAGGAATTATACATGTACTTGTTGAAGAAATTGAATATTCACATTAAAACGTACAGTTCTAAGAAACCGCCAGGGGTATCCAGGATTAGTCCTTGGCACCTGTAATTTGTTTTTACAATACTTCTAGGAAACATGCAATAACATAATGTGACTGTGTACGTGCTTTGAGTACATTTGCCATAACCATTTTTTCAGGATGACTGGTTCATTTCAGAGAACTACATTTAAGACACATAATGGAAAATGTTGATTTTCCCATGCACTTCTTAAAATTGATAATCATATCATATAGTGGAACACCAAGATTAAATATATAAAAAATCTGATGTGCATACTAGAACTAGTAAATGTAGGTGTGTCTGTTATTTATGAAGAAATCTCTTGGTAACATATTTTTAAAGATTTTTTTTTTTCTTTTCAAAGCTGTCCATTCATCTTGCTGTCAGAATTACATCTGTTTTAGTATAATATCTGTCTTTAGTTATTGATAAAGTTTGAGGATGAAGTTTATTGATGATGCTGTCTGTTGCAGGTATGGATTACATTGAGCCCGACCCCCCAGTTAAAGGTCATGGGACAGTGATTCGACAAGATTCTGTACCCCAGGAACCTGCCCCACCCATTCCGCCACCACCTGTCATGAGAAACAGACAGTAGGAACATTTCATATGAATTCAGGGTTCTAACAAAAATAAAATGCAATGTTTTTTTATGAAATATTTTATTTTTTCACTAATTTACCAGAACTATAGTTTCCCCATACATTTATGAAATGCAGTGCTTGTTCATGCTATTTAAGAGAGATAGATGGTCATGTACATTATAACTGTGTTTCTTTTCTATTAACCCTTTAACCCCCAGAGACGCATTTGGACGCATTTTCAGCATCACAGATATTTAACTGTTGGCGTTTTCTAAATATTCGGGTTACAACAAAACAATTGATATTTTCTGAAACTAGAGAAGAAACTAAACATTTTTTCTACTCAAAATTTTTCTGTGCGATGTTGAGAAATTATCATAAACTTGAATTGAATATTGCATATCATTGCAGGAAGTTGATAAAACTATGCATAAATGACTGATTTTGTGCTATCTTCTGTTGGCTTTATCTAAATTACAAACACAATAAAAAAAAATTAATACTATAACCTGAAAGCTGGGAATATGCCCTATATTTTTTATTTCGGACATTATAAGGTAGATGAATCCGTTACAGAGATATTTGTTGTTGAATATTGGTGCTTTTACGAGTAAAACACAAAATGCACTATGACGTCATTTGATGTTTTACATGCACAATGAAATCATTCATGAGCTCAGTGTAAAACAAACTGGCTCTTTTGATATATGGAACAGATTTATTTTTTTAAAAATGAATTATTTGTAAAGATAAGTTAATGTACGACACGTTTTGAGCCATAAACATGTAACAAAAGGAATTTTCCCTAGCCCTGGGAGATATATTATACACATGTAGTAATAGTCTTTCACCCAACACCCCGATTGCGTGCACCCATTGCAGAAATCCCTGTCAAATTTCGTGTCAGTCCTACATGTAGTAGAAATAATTAATTAAATAATTAAATGTTATCCTTACCATTTTCGTAATCTTAAGATTTATTATTGAAAAATGAAAAAAAAAAATCTTTTTTTTAGTACTTGGTGTACTTTGATGGGAAAAGTGCATTTTTATTAAAGCGACAGGATTGATAACGCAGTCATCCTTTTTTAATGATTAAAAGATGAAAAAAAAAATGTCACAATGAAAAAATATATCAAAAGTACTACGTCGTAAACGTAGCCAAACAAACAGCTGATTTTAATCAGATTGCTATATTATATAGTTATATTGTTATATTATATACTATAATAGAAATGATTTCTGAATAAACAAACAGGAAACTCAAGTTTCTTTCTTCGTGTTAAATTCATTTTTCAGTCTTCACAGAGTTAAGAACAAGTCTATATCAAACTGGATAATTGATTTTATGAACAATATAAAATGATTTATGACAACAAGATTATATATCAGTTTTTTATTGTATTTTTGTCATATTGTTTATTCAACTTAAGCATCTAGAGTTTACGCGTACTTAATAACCAGAAATAAAACATGACTCAATGCGAATAAATTTTAGCTGTTCTGCATACCCAGGAATGCGCGCTTTTAATTGTTTTTTTGTAGATGTCGCCCTGTTTTCACTCGGACTCCAGCTGTTTATAAAGTAGAAGTACATTGGTTGGCATAAAAAATGGAAAACTTGGGATAAACTAACAAATTCTCCCTCATTGCCTAATCCTTTACAGATTAGCCTGGATTACAATATGTGTATTGAAGAAACTGAAAAGTTGAATCTACTGCTACAACAAAAATAAAACGTAGCAAGTATGTAAAATATTTCCCAGAACATCGCGCGAAAATAGCAAAATGCGCTTTTGAATATTAAAACCGCCATTTTACTATTTTCTAAAAGCTGTGGAGAAATGTTAATGAAAGTACAATCAGAAGTATTCGGAAACAATGCCTACGCTCTATAATTTTGGAAAAACTTGTGTTTTTCACCAAAGAAATCAACGGAAAATATTTTTTAAAACACCCCCCTTTTCTTTTTACAGCAATTTTGAATTATTATTTAACAAATTCTTACCAAAGCTCTTGTTGTTCCCGAGGGTGGGGGTGGCGGGTATGTTTACAGAAAAATTACATGAGTTAAACATATGGAAAAAATGAAGGATCATTTATCCATGTCTATGAGTATTTTAAAATCTGAGTTTTATTTTAAAATCTCTTGATGTTTTAAAGCCTGATTTCAATGGATATACATCTTCTAGACCCCTTATAAAAAGAGTTGTGATTAAGAGCAATGAACAATTAGACACTGGTATTAATAATGTCATATTGTAATTTTTGAATTTACCTGGTGGTAGTAAATACAACAAGAGGCTGAGCCACATCGCTCACCTCAGCTCATTGGCTAGGAAGAAGCAGTAATCAGTTCAGTATTGAAGGGGGGGGGGGGCAAATTTTAATTTAAACTACCTCAGGATGCTTCCATATCAATAGCACTAATCATGGCTTTGCTGTTCTTAAACAGAAGAATTTTCAAGATTTTTTTCCTATGTTTTCCCCCGTCATGATAGCTCATTCTCTAGAGCTCTGGCTCCGTGATCTAAAGGTAAGGGGTTCGAGCCCTGGCCGCGACTGACCTAATTCGATAAAAAAATAGGTAGCAACTGTTCCTTCGCCAAGCGCTCGGCACTTTGAAGTGAAAGTTGCGGGTCCTTCAGATGAGACCTTAATGACCGAGGCCCCGTGTCACGGCAGGCGTAAGCACAATAAAGATCCCTCACTGATCAATGGCCCTGAGTGCCGAGTAAAGGTCTAAATTTGAAGTCCTTCACCGGTATATGGTGAAGTCTCTATATGAGTGAAAAATTCTTGTACAGAACGTAAAACAACATACAATCAATCAATCCTATGTTTTCCTATGTAAAACTCTGATCTCTCATTGTGGCCCCACACTACCCACCCTAAATTTGAACAAATTTGAATCTACACGACCAAAGGATGCTTCTATGATAATATGACTAATCATGGCTTTGCTGTTCTTGAGCAGATTTTTTCAAGACGATTCCTATATTTTTTCTGATGCAAAACTTAATTGACCCTCTGTTGTGCCCCCATGATTTGAACAAACTTGATTCTACAATACCTAAGGTTGCTTCTATATAAATATGACTAATAATAAGTGGTTCTTGAGAAGAAGATTTAAAATGTAATCAACTAAGCAGTAATTAATTAACAAAGATTGCATTGAAGTCTAAGGAGACAAGCGATTTTTCTTTTAAAAATAAATATTCAAATAAAAAGAATATTAATAAATACTGTGGTGGAAAGATGCTTAAAACATTAGAAATAGAATGACAATTGAAAACGATTTTTTTTTTTACCAGATAATTTTTTTATAATTGAATTTTTCAAATAAAAACAGATGGAGATAACCCTTACCAAAATTCAAGGTCATGAATTAGGACACATCCCACCCTTACATGCTAATAGTAATAAATGTGAATTATGTCTAAATATACTGAGTATTAAACACCTACATATCTGTCGTGTATTCAATTTCATTGAATCTTTTGCGATTAGGGATGGAATACCATAACTTCTTTATTGCTGATTCAGCATCCAACTTATTCTGCTAACTTCTGAATGCCTGACTTTCCCAAAACTTTGGCTTATATACCCTTTGGTTTGGCTAGTCCATTCCAAGGGTTGCCAGGTCATTCCATTATTTAAGGTCTTCAATGCATTTTACTCGAATGCCCCTTAACCATTACACCTATATATTCCTATGTAAAACTCTGACCCACTGTTGTGGCTCTGCCCTATCTGTGGGGGTCTTGATTTAAACAAATTAGAATCTACATTACTTGAGGATACTTCTATATTAATATGACTAATAATGGCTTAGCTGTTCTTGAGAAGAAGATTTTTAAAGATATTTCCAATATATTCCTATGGTGAACTTTGACCTCCTGTTGTGGCCTTGCCCTACTCCCAGGGATCAAGACTGGAACAAACTTGAATCTACACTACCTGAGGATACTTCTATTATAATATGACTAATCATGGCTTTGCTGTTATACAGAAGAAGATTTTTAAAGACATTTCCTATTTATTCCTATGTAAAACTTCGACCCCCTCTTGCGGCCCTGCCCT